TTACTGATTTAAATCGTGTCGACTTCCGTAATGTACAAGAACAAGTAAGGGCATTATTATTTTTAATATATTTTTATGGTTATCGATATAAATAACAGCTGAAGAGTTTATTTATCGGTTATAGATTTTTTTAGTTTTATTTTCTCAGGGTTTTTGAATGCTTTCACTAATTTATACAATTTTTGTATGAACAATTGTTTTTTGTTCATTTGCTATAGTGATGTCTTTTTTAAAATAAACAAAATTTTAATTAAAATAATATATTAATATACTAAATAATAACAGTTTGTGATAAAAAAAACCTAAAATATAAAAATATTTATTATTAGTTGAAAATGTTACAAATAAACTGATAGAGCTGTTGTCAAATGGGACATCTTTAACCTAACCTGGGTAGACCACTTTTAATCACTTTAAGCTATATTAGCCATATTTAGTCCAAACCGTTAAGATATAATATAATATATCCACACACGAGAGAAAACAACAATTCAACTACCACTTTAGGACTTAAATAATTGTTTTAATTACCTGGCTGATACCCTCATTAAAAAACACACATTTAGATATTTTTTCTTGCTTATTTCATTCATGAATATTTTGCAGCAAAACACATCAATGTATGTTTTTTATGTAAAAAAAACAAGCTTAGCTTTCAAAAAAAGATTATCAAAATTAATTGACCTCCATAAATTTGTGAACATTTAATTTTAAATATAAAAATATATTTTTCAGCCATTGTATTATTATTTTTTAAGTTTAAAAAAAATATTTCAAAAAGTTGTCAAACTTTACATAAAATATGTCAAAATCAAATCGGAATTTCTGTAAGAATTTATAGAATCAACAAATATTTAGAATAATAAAAACTTAAATTTATTCATATTTTTTTTTACAAATTATTGTTACTTCAAATATTCAAAGCAGCCCAAAAATGATATTCGATTTGATTTATATATATGTATACAAATTATTGGTTTCTCTTTATTTATAACAAGTTATTGTATCGTATTGATTGTTCATTTGCTATTGTGTTTTTAGGCTTCTTGGGTATGCCAATGCGACTCCGCTTTAGTCCAACAGTTGGAAGCCGATTTCAAACACACGCTTCAACAGCAGAATTCTTTAGAAGAATGGGCTACATGGTTAAAAAGTGTTGTGGACAATTGTTTAAAACCATATCGCGGGACGTCAAACTTCACGAAAGAAGCACGCCAATTTTTATTAAAATGGTCATTTTATAGGTAAAGCATTTGCATAATAGCATTTTTGTTAATAATTATTAATTATTTATCGTCGCAGTTCGATGGTTATACGCGATTTGACATTACGTTCAGCAGCCAGCTTTGGTTCGTTCCACCTGATTCGCTTGCTATATGACGAGTATATGTTTTATTTGATAGAACACGAAGTAGCGTTAGTTACGGGACAAACACCGATTGCAGTAATGGGATCAGGAGATGTAAGTCGAGGATATTTTTAATTTGCTTATTCACACTATTTCACTGCCTTCAAATGACAAGTTCATAAAGTCTGTCGCTGTCGTCAGTTGCAATCAAAATGAGTCCATTTTGAAGTGTCATTTGACAAGTAAAAAATATGAATCGAGCATTTTTTTCTCTCATTACAGAAATCCATTCCCACTGCAGTATTGATCGACTACGAGCCAACTTCTGAGTACACCAATTGTAATGGCAAACGTATGAAAATCAACTAGTCACTAGGCCGTATAAAATAATAATATTCGTTTGGGCACTTATTCACTATTTTTAACTATTATTATTATTATTATTGTTTATTTTTTTGCCGTTTTGTTGTCCTTGTGAGCACTGTTTATTTTTTAAACCTGATATTATTTATTTAAATATTTTACTCATTGTAAATGTTCTATTTTTTAATTTTTCAATAATTTGTGACCTTAACCATTTATGTGACCTTTTGTGCAATTATTGTTTTATTTTTTTTTTTAGACTTATTTTCTATTTTTAAGTCAAGTTTTTTAAAAGAAAAAATGTACATTGATTACATATTATTTATAATATTCTTAATTGATTTTCAAAGCCTGGAATAGCGTTTGTGATGAATTTTTTGTTTGTTTTTATTAATATTACGCTAAAATATTGTATTCTGAATTTGTGGTTAATTGTGTTTTTTAGTATTACATTTTTCAATATACATACACATAATCATACATTTAATGCAAATTGTACTTTTTTTTTATTTTTGAAAATATACTTGACACAGAAAACTTATATAAACTCTGCATTTACTTTGTCCTCATTGTTGTAAGGTCATCAGATTTTACAAATTCACAGCCTGTACTCTGGACTATATCGATTATTTCAACACCTTCTGCAATTTCGACTAGCGTCAATCCATTTTCCGGGTCTACATCAAAAACGCACTGAAATTTATAAAAATAATAAATAACAATAATGTAAATATGAAAAAAAAAAATTGAGAAATTTAACATTCACAGAACATTTTTATAAAACTAATTTTTTTTCTTTTTAAGATAAATCTAATTAATTTTGTTTAATCGATTAATTATAAAAAATGACAATGGGTCAAACAAAAATTTGCATTAAATGTTTATAAATGGTTACAATAATATAGAAAATATTTACTTTTTCTGTAATTATTCTGTTGACACATCGACTACCGGTCAGCGGAAGTACACAATTGGAAATAATTTTTGGTGAGCCGTCTTTGGCTGTATGCTCCATAGCCACAATGACCTTGGTATTGGGAGCCGAAACCAGATCCATCGCTCCTCCCATACCTTTTACTAATTTGCCCTAAAAAAAAAATTAATGCTTTAGACTGGGCATATACGTCTAACACGTCTGGTAAATTAATAACTACTTCATACTTACTGGTATTAACCAATTGGCTAAATCGCCGTATTGTGAAACTTCCATCGCGCCTAATACCGTTAAATCTAAATGACCCCTACACATAATAATTCATTAATTAAAACATCACCATTAAAGTGAGAGTAAAAATATAACATACCCTCTGACCATTGCAAAACTTTCTTCGCTGCTAAAGAAACTACCACCTGGTACAACGGTAATCGTCTCCTTTCCAGCATTGATTAAGTCTGGGTCAACTGATTTCTTTGATGATGGATGAGGGCCAAGACCTAATATACCATTTTCGCTGTGTAAAATCACCTTAACGCCTTCTGGAATATGACTGCTGGCCAACATCGGCATGCCTATTCCTAAATTGACTGATACGTTTGGCTAAGGATATTTATCAATATAATTAGATGTTTACAATATAGATACAACTTTGCAGCCATTTATATAATTATATTTAGACAAATTGCTGGGTAGTTTTGTAAGGCCATAAGCCGAAATAATGGTAGGAGGAAAAAATATTTTAACACAGTCCACCAGACTTTTTTCTCTTAAATTTCATACACGATGAAATAACAAAATCAAAGTTACGATTATTAAAAAATTACAAGTATAATTTTATACTATATTAATTGCAAAAAGGATACCATACATGCCGTTTTTGAATTCTAAAGCAACTCGTTTAACTATTCGCTCTCTCAATTGTGCAGCAGAAGAGCTTGCTAGCATCGAATCGCCGTCTGATGGTTTTTGGATTAGGACAGTTTTCTGAATTTTTAAAGCAAATTTGTTAATTACTAAAACAAAGTTAAAATATTATTCTAGTGTAAATACTTCGATTTTCTTAACGTAATCTTTGCCCAAAACTATTCTATCGACGTAAATGCCTGGGACGTGTACTTGGTCTGGATCAATACAGCCGGTATCGACAATTTCTTCAACTTCTACTATAGTGGTTTTAGCTGCAGCACACATGGCTGGATTAAAATTTCTGGCCGATTTGCTAAATAAAAAAAAATTATAAATATTATTCATGTGTATAAAAAATAATAATATCTATCATTATTACTTAAATATAAGATTTCCTTCGTGATCAGCTTTTTGAGCTTTAATGATTGCATAGTCTGCCGTTATGGCCCTTTCCATGACATATGGTTGTCCATCAAAAATTTGAACTTCACGACCGTCGCTAGCCAGTTCTACTTGCCCTTTTTTATTGCTTTTTTTATTTGTATCATTATCTTCTTCTTCGTTGTGCAATACATACTTCAAAGGTATGCCTCCATCCTGAACAAGTGTACCAACAGCCGTTGGTGTAAAAAAGGCTGGTATGCCAGCGCCGCCAGCTCGTATTCTTTCGGCTAATGTACCCTAAAAAATCAACAGAGAATAACTAATCTATTTTTTTAACCTGTAAAAGACAAACTACAAGTTATTTTTTTTACAAACTTGAGGAGTAAGTTCAACAGTCAATTCTCCATTTAGATATTGCTTTTCGAACTCGGCATTTTCGCCAACATACGAAGCAATAACCTTGGTAATTTTCTTTTGTTTCAGAAGTTTCCCTAAACCAAAGTTGTCGGTACCAGCATTGTTACTAATCACGGTCAAATTATTTATATCATTACGTTCCACCAGACCGTCGATTAGTTTTTCTGGTATACCACACAGTCCAAAACCTAATTAACGATGTATAGTTAGTAGATTCATTTAATTTATTAGTTAGTTGATAAATAAATTATTATACTATTATATAATACTAAAATATAAAAAAAAATATGGTGTAAATATTTCAAGATAATAATATAAAATTTAATATTATTTTTAATGAATAAATTTTTTTTTTATTTTCAAAGAAATGGCAAAAACAAAAGTTAAAATATTATAAGATTTAGGTTATAAATCAATTGATTCAATTAAATTAATATTTGACCTTTAAATTTATAAAAATAAGAAGAAAAAAAGCTTTTGACATTTGTTACATAAGATGTTAATTAGTAACTATAAAAAACAATTTTAAAAAAAGTCTATAAGCATAATATGCATATTATGTGGTAAATAATTAATACTTTTCTAAATTAATTGAATAGAAATACCTTATTTTATGAGGGTGAGGGTAATTTAAATATATATAATGTATAATTTATGTAGTAAAAATTATTATAAATAAATCAAAATATATATTTATAAATATATATTTTTTGTTAAACCTGTTGTGAGCTAAGGCAATTGATAATTAATACTTATTATTACATTTAATAACTAAAAACATAAATAAATGCAGTTTCACATACTAGAATTATTAAGATATAATACTCGTATTTTTTTTTTTTTAATTCAGAAAATATATTAATTATTATGTTAAACTAACCACCAAATAGAATAGAACTGCCGGGTTTGACATCTTCCAAAGCGTGTTCAACAGACGTGTACACTTTTTGTTTTTGTGATCGTACACTAATGCTGAAATTAGAATGCTAAAAAAAATAGTTAAGTCTTAAATACATATTTGGGATTCATATAGATTACTTCTGGGTTGTTTTATTTACCTGAATTACAATAATAGTATTTTTCGTAGATGGCCGTAAGTAGATATTTCTAGTTAACAAAGAAAACATTTTTAATAACAATTTTTTTTTTTAACTTAAGGGTTTAATCTTAATATTATGGCATTATATATAATATTTTATAGTATCCCAATCTGATGTTCAGACTTCGATCATTAGAGAATGAAAAAAATATATAATATTGTGTTTCAAACTTTTTTATACATTATGTATTATCTATATAAGATTAGATAACAATAATAAAATCAGATAAGCTTTAAACGTGTTATCAATTTATCGATGAAATGTTCGTCATGAAAAAATAAAAGATATGTCGGCAGCTTGTGATAATCACAAAATGGTTGTCGGTTTTATTGGCGGCCGTTCATTTCTAACGAGGGAAAACCGACTACCATATTGTAAAAATTCGTAACACAAGTTACTGACATACCTAGTTATTTTACCATGTATAATAACACTATAATGTGTTAAAACTTAAACCTAACCTTTGTGCTTGTATTTACCGGCTTTAGCCTTTAACTTTTTCAAGACCTTTTGGCTTTTATATTTACAACTACGTGAATTGATGGTACTTACTTTTTAATAATTTAATTAAGTTCATTAATTAAATTATTATTTGTTAAAATAATTACTCGGTAAATAATAATAGTGATACGTTTTTATTCAAATATAAAACATTGATAAACGATAATAGGTGTTCCGTGTTCTGACTTTTGTTACATAGCTCAATACTTCAATATTGTTATAGTTATCTTCAGTAATTTTGTAAAATAACAAATACATTAATAATGTCTGTATTCGAGGAAAATACCAATCCTACGAATAATTACAAAGACATACAGCAGTTGACTGCTGAAATTGAAGCCATAAAAGAAGAATTAATTTTGAAAACCGAACTTCTCAAAATGAAAAAGGTTAATATTTTAGCTTAACTATTATGCACGATTATAAAATAAGTTCCAAATGTTCTTTCGGTATCTCACAAAATTCATCAGAGTACATTAAATACACAAACAAATCAATTGTCGTAATATTTTTCTCGTAATTCAAGTATAAACACAACTTTACTAAGATATTTGGCTAAATATTAAATTAATTAAATATCTTAATTGGAATGGTGATAATTTTTCTTGCTTACAAAATGTTATATTTTTATAATAATTTATTGTAATAGGAATTTTAACCTCAGCCATACCTATCCAAAAAAAATGGGGTTGGCCATATATTTAATTTGGCTGTTTATATTTTTAAAGAATTTTATTTCATCTACTTAATAGTACCTTACAAAACCAGCTTGAGCAATTGGATTTGTTTTACTCTGACCAGCTCTGAAGAACCCTCTATAAATACATTCAGCTAATGGAATTGATAAAATTATTATTTTTATTATGACTTTTTACTTTGTCATAGAATAATTCATAGCAAAGCTGAAAAACCCTTTTCACAAACTTTGTAAGAAATATTTCTGTGCGAAAGGGTTGTACTGTTTATAATAAGACAATTCTTAATTTATTTTCATCATATCTTTGGAAAAATGGTTTTATAATAGATAATTGTAATATGTCAAAAAGGCCAAAAAAATCTAGAATTTAATATTTTTCATTACATACTAATTTGAAGAATAAAATACATATTATTACTTTTAGAAACAATTCTTAGCTCCATCTGAAATAAGTCGGTATAGTCGTCAAATGATTCTCCCTGAAATCGGTATTGAAGGTAAATAAGAACTTTACAACTGTTGTATTTGGTTTTTTTTATTTATTAAAATATATTGTAACAGTTAATTTTCTTTTTATAAATTTCAGGACAAAAGAAATTAAAAGCTTCAAGTGTATTAATTGTTGGTGTCGGTGGGCTTGGATGTCCGTCGTCAATGTATTTGACCAGTGCTGGTGTAGGTACAATCGGATTGGTTGATTATGATATTGTGGAAATAAACAATTTACACCGACAATTGCTACATGCCGAAGCAAATTGTGGCATGAGGAAAGTTGAATCCGGAAAACTGTCATTGGAACGGTAAGTATTAATTAATTAAAAAAACGTTTCCCATATTAATAAAAAAAATTTTTTTTAGTATAAACCAAAATGTCAACATTGTCACTCATGATGTACAATTGGACGGTCATAATTCAATTGAAATTTTCCAACACTATGACGTAATTATAGATGCCAGTGACAATCTAGTAACGAGGTACATAGTTAATGACACATGTGTAAAAACTGGTAAACCTTTAGTTTCCGGGTCCGCTATTCAATGCGATGGACAATTGGCTGTTTACAACTATAAGGGATCAGTGTGCTTCAGGTGTCTACACCCTAAACCACAACCACCAGAGACAGTCGGTAACTGTTCTTCAGCAGGAGTATTAGGTCCAGGTTAGAGGAAATATACTGAATTTCTGTTTGTTATTATTTGATTATATTTATACAATAATTATTATGTCAACAGTTCCGGGCGTTATTGGTGTACTGCAAGCAATGGAAGCTATAAAAATAATTACTGATCATCCCAACGTTTTGTATAATAATTTAGTTGTTTACGATGGAGGCGATTGTGATTTTAAGAAAATCAAATTAGCTAACAGTAAACGGAAAGGATGCATTTGCACAAAGCAGCCCGAAGAGATATCGATCGACACAGACTATGAATTATTTTGTGGATCAAAGGCAAACGATAAGGTAATGAAATTATTAATTACAACAAATTAAATCAAGTAATAATTCATCTTCTAATTTTCAGGTTAAAAGCATTAATCTACTTCAAGAAAATGAACGTTTAACAGTGTTGGACTTACAAAAATATGTATCAGAGAACGAGCCGATATTAGTAATAGACGTTCGTAAGAAAGTAGAATATGACATGTGTCATTTACCGTTTTCAATAAATATTCCATTAGATGATTTAAAAACTGAACAATCACATTCTCAGTTAATCGAGAAAATTAACTTGAGTTACACTAAAATACCAAGTTGTAAGAAACGATTAAAAAGTAATAATGGATTAACTTTTGTTTATATTAACCACCATCTTATTTTTGTTGTAGTAATAACAGTTTGTCGCCGAGGTAATGATTCACAAAGAGCCGTGATGGAATTGAAAAAAAAGTCTATTTTAAAAAATAAAGTCAACTGGATAAAAGATGTCATCGGTGGACTTCACGAATGGAGTAAACAAATAAATACTAATTTTCCAATATACTGAAAGTAAAAAAAATTAGTGATTATTATATGATTGTATTATATTTGTATGTATAACTTTCTAAAATAAATATTTTATTCCCCAACAAAAATTTTAATATAATGTAAAATTAAAAAATATTTATTTATTAAATATATTATTTTTTAGTTGAAACTAAATAATGAATTTCCGATTGTTCTCGAAGTCTTTCAGCTGCTTGTTCAGGTGTTAAGTCTCGTTGGCATTGCGCTAATAATTCAAATCTAATAAAACAATAAGACGATTTAAAAATATTAATTATAATAATATTAATATAATTTATTATATTAATATTAATTTATTTAAAAAGTAATTTGAAGTTATAATTATTCAAAAGTCAATATTCCAACATATATTCTGAAACATTATTATATTTAAGTATTTGAAGTAGGACTGTTCTAATTACCCAGAAATAAATTTTTTGACTGTAGCCGAGCGCAACAGTGGTGGTAAATAAATACCGTGAAACACCCAGTGATCGTAACCATCCCAGTTGGATCCAGTAGGAGCTCCTATGTATAATATATAATGATTATAAGTATAAAGTATAAATATATTTTATGCCAGAAGTCTGGATAAAATTTATATTTTGCTATTAATGTCTTACTGTTATTTTTTTTTAAATATAATATGTTTTTCTGTAATTGGACAATGGTTTTACGTAGGTATTAAAGGGTTATAATAAAAATTTGTTGGCAATTAATTTTTTTGGAACATTGTTTGGAATAAAAAAAATTTGTTAGTTCCAAAGATATAACTCGATCAAAATAGTGTTTGATGTAATTATTTGTTCATAAGTTTTTAGTGTAAAATTGTTTTATTTTATTAAGATATTAAAATGTTATTTTTCCCGGAACTTTGTTCGAATCCTTGTTTTATACAATTGAAATAATAACAAAGAATTTATTTTTTACCATGCCAGCCCATTGAATAAGGGAATGATGTTTTAAACATATTATCGTATTTGGTTGTTATAATTTTCATAACCAAAGCTAGATCGGTCTTTTCCTCTTCGGTAATATCATTCATTCTCTTAATCCATCTCTTCGGTAACACCATTGTCTCGTACGGCCAAATCGCCCAAAAAGGTACCAACACGACCCAACTTAAGTTTTCGACAACAACTCTGACCTTTTTATAAAACAATAAACATTATGAGTTATTACTATTCTTATTGTTGTATTACACACTATCTCATTTATGTGTAATATAATTCAAAAACCATCTACTTTAGCTTTTAATTCTCGTTCGACATAATCCAGCAGCATTGGACGGCCATACTTGTTATAGTAATCTCTTTGATTGATGTCTTTGATCCGAGGTTCATTTGGTAAAAACGAACAAGACCATATTTGACAATGTGGATGATGATTGGAACAACCCATCATGGTACCTTTATTTTCAAAAATTTGCACCCACGTATATTTTTGTCCTAATTCTTCTAACTGCTCTATCCAACTTAACAAATAACTCTAGGTTAAAATAAATATAATTTTATGTTACTCTGTTCTCTTTTGATAGCACCTTTTAATTACGGTTTTTATTTCGTCCACAGACATTAATGCAATTGTTATATTAGATTTCGGATGAAAACACATAACGCGACACGTGCCTTGAACCCCTTCAATGCGAAACAATGGATCATCACTTGTAGGAGGTAAAGGCGTGTCTTCTAATAAAGCAGGGAAGTCGTTTTTGAATACATACGTGGATGTGTAAAATGGATTTTTCTTTGGGAATAAGTAAAAATGATAGACAATTATAATATATTATATAATGTTTATTTTGTCTTCAAAGAGTTCTTACTTCGCCGCTACTTCTGACCACTCCGGGACAAAGTGGATTAGTAGGATCGAATTCTGGTCCCATATCGTTGTTCACAGTCTCCGTTTGACCGTCCCATGGTCTTTTCATACGATGCGGTGAAACCAATACCCATTCACCTTTCAGCGGATTGTATCGCTTATGTGGATGTTCTGAAGTAAAATAATATATTTGGAATATATGTCAAAAAATTAATTTAAGGACCAATTTTCTAACAAGTTGAGCAAAAACAACCTAACCATTTTTTTTTTTTTATTAGCTACACTATTTAAGTAATTTAAATTATATTTTTTTGAGTGTGCACGATTTTAAAATAATATGACCATTTTCATTTTCATTTTTGTTTTTAATTTAAATTTTGCATAAATTATTTCTCATTTAAATGTAATGCCAGATGCAAGAAACAATACTATGTTAAGTGGTGTTTATTTAAAAATACATCATCATATTTTGCAATGAATCAACCATAATATATAGGTAGAAACTTATTTATTTTGTATATTATTTGATGTTTTGTATGGTACTGTTTATTATTATCTACACGTTAAATACGAGTAGATAATATAGTTTACTGTATTTACATTACTGTTTATATATTTTTCTCATTTTATTATGCCCAATTCAAGGATTTATTAAAACAGAAGTACCAAATACATGTTTATCTATCAAGTGCTCAATATAAGATTAATTCAAGGTATAGAACAGTACTTATGTTGTAGTTCATAAACAAAAATAGTTAAATTTAAATTTGTTTTACTAAACATGTGCTTAAAAAAAAGTAATTGGGGGTTGAATTTTTAAAATTGAGTCATTAAAAAAAACTAAATAAATACGGTCAGAAATAATAATTTTTAAAACTATATGATTGTTTATTTCTACAAGTTTGATACAAATATTTGGAAAAAATTAATTACTAAAAAATATACACATTTTTAAACAAAAATTAAAAAATAATTTTTCTCTGTATATTATAGGAGTATTATAGATAGGTACCATAATGTCCTAATAATCCTGTAGTTAACTTCCGAGGTTCGTTCTATAGGTTATCTATTAACAATTTTCGTGCCCCGACTATGATAAAAGTAAATTTAAAAAAGATGTTTTTACTCAATCTATTTATAAATTTTTTTTAAAAATAATTCTGTTATGTTCTGTAAAGTTTTTTAAATCTATTATTTTGCATACTCGCTCACCAACTAATAGAATTATTTACGTTTAAATTTGACTTAATAATAATTACCGGAAGCTATAAACTGCATTATATGTGTCTTCGAATATGGTGTCTATACTGTACAGTGTACACTACAATAAAAACAATTAAAATAGTAATATATGCACAAGTTTTGCTATTAATGATGATAAATGCATATGAATGTGGTGTATCTGTTGTAGTAAGCTGTGTGTCACTCAGTCTTAAATAATAGTTTATTTTCAATAGATAAGATAAAAAAAGGCAATTATCAAACATAAATAAAATATTTGTAATAACAATAAAATACATAAATTCTACAATACAAGATTTTTTTTAACAATTGATAGATAATGAATAATTTGAAGTTGTTTATTTCCGCCAATATTGAGCGAATTTGTGCAACTGTTCGACAAGTACTGCCATCACAGCTGTGACTGATACGTCTAATAAATTTTGGAAATAGTGAACAGCTTCTTCATCTCCTAAATCCAATCTAAACTTGTCTTGAACTTTATTAACAGTCTTATCCGGTTCCAATGCAATATCCGGGACACTGGCGTCTACCATTAATGAAAAAAGATTTAGTATGAGATTAGCATGACGTCTTAAATGCAGAAAAGCGGTGTAGCATAGTTTCCTGAACTCGTGGTAATATTCACTGTTTACACCGCCCATTGCTTCTACCATTTCTTTACTCAGTTTCATCGGAGGTGGTAGAGGTTTAGGATCTCGGCCTAATATATATCCAAAATCTATATGAAATAGTTTTCCAGTCGAAGTCAATAATAAGTTATCGAAATGTCGATCACCAACACCAAGCAAATATGTGATTACACAATAACCAGCGCAACTTTTAATGTAGTTTTCCATTATGTCGACAGATATGCCGAACGGAGCATTTTCGTTCGGATGGTTTTTTCGGAAATAATTTTGAATTGACCCTTCGGTTGCCAAAATTTCAGCAACCGGTAGCGAGTTCACAAATTGTACAAAACCGTGTCGGGCACTTGTCGCCAACACTCTGTACGGAGTAAGTTTTAAATCTAAATTTTCACTTCTCAACAGTTTATCCATAAGAGTAATAATCTGTAGGATAAGTTGATCTTGACGTAAATCATCTCCATGCTTGAAAATAGCAACGTATTCCCTATTGTCTTGCACTTTAAACGTAAGCCTGGAAGGCATTAAAGCAGATTTGAAGAGTACTGCTTTTTCTGGAATTATCCCCGTGATAAGTATACTGGGATCCAGTGGCAATGGTAGAGGATCAAAAGAAATAAAACTAAATTTTGTATCTGTTTCAGCCAGTAGTGCTTGGAGTTTATCGATTTTTTTCTTTCTGTTGCCACTCTCTCTAGCTACTGTCTTGACAATTCTCACCAGTCGATCAATAAAATTCTGTTGTCTGGTCAAATTTGCATGTATTTTTTGACACTCCATACTACCGTTGTATAATGTCATTAAAAACGTTTTCATAACGCTTAAATACATATTGCGTACTCGGATATCTTGTTTGATTGTCAAATCTTGATCTTCGCACTCAATCATCAAATACCAGTAGAAGTAATTTGCCAAACTGAAATTCTTACTAGCTCTATGAATAAGAAAACGTGCTAAATCCATGTCTTCTGGCTTGCACATTTCAAAATAATTAATAGTACATTGTGTATTGCTTTCTGTACTATCTTTTAGACTTAAGCCAGACACGGACTCAGTCAAACTGTCGGTAACTGGATATTTGTCTTCCATAAGTTTTAAGCTGTTCGATATGTGTTCAAAGTTTTCATACTTGAGTGCCTGTACCAACTGTAGTAAATATAAAAGTAAGTCTTCGTCGGTAGCCTGTTGTAACCGTTCCACAGCGTATTTTCTAACTGACAGATGTTTGAAGGCTGGACTTAACAAACGTAATGAATCATCCACGTCCATTGGAGCCCATTGATGCATCATATCCAATGCTTGCATAGCTTCTCCGTGTAGTTTCCAATTAACACATTCTAAAAATTTCGTAAGTGCTTTTTTCTGATTGCACAAATAAAACCGATACTTCCAAATAAGATCTTGCTCTTCAGTTGTTAATGTTTTAGTTGGGGGATAACCGACAATTGTATTTAGCACATCCCGAACGGTTGCAGTCGGTTTGGCATCCTTATCTGAAATACCACTTCTCAAGCTTCTAGCCAGTTTATGATGTTTACTTTCCACTAGATTTTCTTGCATGACTTCTGCATCGGGCACCGTGACTATGTCTGGATTAACTCTGAATGGGTATATTTCATCACCGTCTTGTTCATAATGTACAACACTATATACAACACCATTGGACACAATTTCTGGAAATTCTATCATTAGATAAGGATAATTCGAAGTTTTCTTTTCTTTTTCATTGATTAACTCTATCTCACGAAATGTTAATCTGTCCAACCAGTCGACTTCAGGCATGTTACCATTACGATGTTGTTTAGCTAATTTTGCTAAACACTGCATACGGTTAGTATCTGATAAACATTTACCCGGTGTAACCGATATATTGCCATCCCCTTCTCTGTCAGGCCATACTCTGAGATCGATCATACCTTGACGAAACACACCGTGCTTTCCAAATAGTGAAATAGATGTGCCACCTACAGCTGTCATTGTATTTGGTCCAGCACAGTCATAAACGGTCAAGGTTAGAAGTGCATTTCTGGGAAGATCGCTAAATTGAATCGGTAGAATGACCCATTCGTTCCAACTCCATCGATTGGTGAAATGTTTGTAGGATGTGAATACTGGTAGACTTAACGGCTTGTTATCACTGTACACTTGGCAATAAACTATGAGATCAGATATTGGTTTTTGATAAAGACCGCTAAATTTCTTCATGGGATCATTGAGTATTTTCTCATAATCGATTTTATGTTTGATACCTTCAAGGGTACCAATTTTTATTTGAACATTTGTCTCTAAAGAACAACTATAGACATAGTTGAAAGTGTTACTTAGATTATTACTCATTTTTTTTTTTTTTTAATGGAATCAACAAATCATTAGATATTTATATAAATATTAGATATTATGTTTTAAATAACTTACATTATTAATTAAACCAATTTTCTGAATTATCAAAACTCTTGAGTAAATAACGCAGAATGCAGTTGTAAATCTAAATGGAAATTTAAACACAACTTGTTTGTACTAATATGTATTTAAGTTTTATGATTTGGAGATATAATAATATTAGTATTATAGTGAAATAGCTGTTAACAGTTATCATAAGTAGTTGATAAACATCATAGCCATGATTAAAATTTTTTTATTTTTATGTTTTTTTTTATTGATAAATTTTGACACAAAATGATTGCATTAAAATAAAATTAGGTTTTTGCATAATATTACTTCCAAAGTAAGTCCTAGTGGCAAATCTGACCACCATCGTTTTTACATTTTAGAGTCAAAAATTACATTAAGTCAAAAAGGGTAAAATTAATTTGTTTATTTAATTTATGTATTCATCTAGCAATTAAGACATTTTAAACGCAATAAAAAAAACTGAATAAAATAAAAAAGATTACAATTATAGACACACAGAGAACCGTAGATAGACCAGTTATTATGCAATGTATTTTGTACAACTATGTTCATGCCATTTACATGTACCTACACAGTACATTTAATATTCTGTAGCTATTAGGTTTACGAGGAAGAAAACTAATAAATTCAATATGACTTTTGTCCTCGGGAAAAATTTGGCAGAATTATAGGGGGACTGGTTTTTAATATTTTAAACTATTGCACTATAATGCTATTAGTATACTTGTGTACATTAGTTGAAAATTGAAATATATTATATTTTCTACAGAGACCAAAAACCTATTTTTAAGTATTAGAGTATTATGCCAAATTAATAGATATTTGCTGCTCTAATTCGACTTTTAGTTTAAAATTAATTATTTTTGTATCAAATCACAAATGAAGTTTAAATCGTGGTAATAATACCGCGAAGGAAAATTGCCTAGCTTGGAAAAAGAAGTTTTCATCCAATTATTTCAAAGATGACCATAGCTACCAAGTACGAGGTAAGCGGTATCATGATCCTTGACTGTATAGATATAATTTCTGCTACCATATGATTACTCTTGATAACATTATTATCCTATGTGTACGATTAAAAAATTGTAATCTGTAAACTGTAATAATATCTTTTTTCAATTTTCATTTCAGTTGGCTGTTGGCACTTGACGGTTCTTTCGTGACTTACACAATTGCAGCGTATATTATATAATTTTTTTCTTTTATAAAACCGTATTCCTAAGTTACTACTTAGTAAACTGCATAGCATTTTTACTGTGCATTGTTTTATCTTAGTCAAAGTTTCACACAGTTGAGGTAATTCACCATGAGTTATTCTCCATCCAGTCAGAACAACGTTACCAAGCCGGATTGGTTAAGTCGTATTGAGAATATGAAAGTCAATCGTAAAGATATGAACAAACTAATCATGAACTATTTAGTGTCTGGTTTGTACAATAGTCCACCGTTTACATTGAATATACCAAAGCGCTAATTTTAATATTTATTTAAATTCTATTTATACTTTTCAGAAGGGTTCAAAGAAGCAGCAGAGAAATTTGAACAAGAAGCTGGTATTAGCTCTCCACTGAAGTTAAATACGCTGGGTAACAGAATCAAAGTGATCGATGCCGTTCAATCTGGTAAAATGCAAGAAGCAATTACGCTTATCAATCAGTTATATCCCGGACTTTTGGATGATGACCGTGGTCTATATTTTCATTTACAGGTAATATTAAAAATTTGCTATTGAAATGTAATGTAATAAATAGGAATGAAGTAAGGATGTACAATGTGTTACAATTAAGCTTTTCTTTAAGGGACGGCTGAGGAGAATTGCTATAGCATAGGTTTGGTGAGGGATAATGAGGTGTAGGAGAGGGAAATATCAATACTGTCTTTGATAACAAATAATATTTTGGTTTACTTTAAAAATCTTGGTTTATTCTTACTCTAAATAGGCACTCTCAAAAAAGTAGTCCACCTATTTTCCACCTTTTTTTTTATTTTTCCTTAAAAAAAAAAGTTTGACTGTAACATTTACTTTATTCAATATTGAATCTTATTAATATTGATTCTAAATAATAATTAACAAAAAATATTAAAGAATGACAAACTATTAGTATTTTTTAACACAAAAATCATAAATATTGAATAGGTGGAAATACTTTTGAAACATTACCTAATCAGCAATAATTCACATTATTCTCTGTATAGGTTTCATAGCCGATAGTAATTTTCAAAAATGTGTAAGCAACTGCTAAATATAAAAATTCAGAGAAATTTTGATCATTAGAAATAAATGAGTCATTGAAAATAATAAAATCACAAAATAACTGAAGTAATTTCCCAAAGACTGTATTTTTTTCATAAATATTAAAGACATTTTTATTTAAATATTTCTATTTTAATTGGAGAACATAGTTGATAAGGTTTTTTTACTTTATTATATGTTAGATATAAATCAAAACAAAAAACATTTCATAATTTCTTTTATACTTTGATTTTTTAAAACATTATTTGTCATACTTTACTATAAATAATGAACTTGTTCCATATTAATAAAACTTTCTAAAATTTTTGGATAAATAAAGTATATGTTGGTAAATTTCGAATTTTTGTTTCAAGTTCTGTGCTATAAAGTAGATTTAGCCTTGAACCCTTCATAGTTTCTATTATATATATATATTTCTATTGTTTTTTTCCAAATACCATTTATTTTTATTTATTAAAAATATTAATTTAATATTTCCCATGATATCCAACTAATGTTTTGTCTGTGTAATTTCTTTCTCAGCAACTACATCTTATTGAATTAATCAAAGAAGGAAACATTGAAGAAGCATTAGTATTTGCTCAGGCTAAACTATCGGAGGTCGGAGAAGGTAACCCTGCAATACTGACCGAATTGGAAAGAACTCTGGCTCTATTAGCATTTGAAGAACCCCAAACTAGTCCTTTTGCCGACCTTCTTCAAATTACACATCGTCAAAAAGTAAGTAATTTAATAAGCTTAAAAAAATCAAACACTCAAATATATGTAAATACCTTATTTTTTCAGGTATCTAGCGAGCTAAATTCTGCTATTTTAAGATTTCATAACCAGCCAATAATTACACCCAAGCTGTACAATTTGATGAAATTGATAATGTGGGCTCAAGATGAATTAGATAGAAAGAAAGTTAAATTTCCTCACATGACCGACTTTGGGTCAGCCACTTTAGAACCTCCTAAATGACGCTCTGCCGATGAGTACGACGATATGTGTTGTGACTCTTTTTGGCTGTCTGACAATAAGGATTGAAGTTGGAGTGTACGCTTTTTTTTAAGAGGATATGTATTATAAAAAAATGGACTACATTTTTTAATTCATTTAATTTATATTATATATAAGATTAATAAAGTATTTAACTAATTTTTTAAGACAAGGATTATAAGATCTACAAAAATATGTAAATTAGGCTTTAAAATGTACACATTTAATCGTTAAAAACTGTGTGAAATTGTATCACATCATTTTATTCATTAGTCAATTTACTAAAATAAATGTATAGACATTTTACCAAAGACTATATTATTATTATACTAATCTCATAATTTGTTTATAATATTTTTTACGTAATATTCACACAAATAGTCATGTTTTTCATTTAAATTTCATCGAAATTAAATTGTATCATATCAAAATAACATTAAAGCTATATTTGTAGTTAAGCGATTTTGTTAGACTTATCTCAATAAGATAAAAAGTTTAACAAAATTGTATAAATGATTTTTTTTTCAAATGTATACAATTTTGTCATTTGATAAAATTTTTAAAAATGTTATTTTGTAAAATCTCTTTTAATCTACAAAAAGTTGGATTTCTCTCTTTTAAGCTTAACAAAATTACAAATCCCTTTAAGAGATAATTTTTTTTTATTTCTTCAAAATTATACAAACATATTAAACTATTAGTCAACTTATACAATTTAGAAAAATTAGAAAGATTTTGGAATTCAAAATTATTTAAAAAATATAAAACAAAAAAATATATTTATATTTTTCGAAAAAAAGTGTAAACATAAATAATTACTTTTATTAAGTGTTTACACTTTATTAACTTAATAGATTGAAATTATCTATTTTTGAGAATCAATCGTAATTATGTACATACTTATTTTATTGCCAACCACAGGTAAAATATATGAATATTTTTTACTTGGATTTAAAACTGAAAGGTAGACACACTTTTTTCTAGTTTTTTTTTACGAAGCAGAAATTATTATCAAATTTCTTATGTGTAGATAACTGGACTTTTTACCTAACGCGAAAAATATTTTTACGTAACAGCTGTTTATATAAAAAATTTAAATTCCAAGTAGAACCCAGTTGTTATCTTTAAAATATATTCTTACTTGTAGGAAAACTAAAAAAATGTTAGTACTAATAATTTGGTTTGCTTATTATTAATATATAACTGTTAACTATACTTATACATTAGAGTAGGTACCTAAAATTAAGTTAATAAAGTGGATCTATATGTATTTATTGCAAATATCTAAAAAAAAACTGTAACTATAAGTTGTAAAAAAATTATTAAATAATATGGTTTTTGTGTGTATTTTGATTTGTGTCCACTCAAAAAAAATCGTTTACGCGTTTGAACTCTACAATCTTATTCTCAATTGGTTGTTAAGATTTTCGACTTTTTTTTTTGTCATTGATAGATTCTAATCCATTGATTGAAGAATATAGTTTTTATACAAATTAGCTATTTGTAATTAAAATTCAAAACGTGCATTTGAGTTTTTTAAAATCGTATTTTTCAAAAACTATTTTATCAATCGATATTTGATTTGGCATTATCTCATACAACTGATATAAGTCTATACATAATATGCGCATCAGATTAAAACTATATTTTTTAAAAATAATTTTTTGCCGCTACTTTTCCTCATAAAAATCGTGTGTATACGTCTAATTTTTAAAATTTTTAAAAAATTATATTTTGTTTTAATTTTTTTAATATAACTACTCTTCTAGTTAAAAAAAATATAAACAAGTACGAAAAGTAGTTCTAAGATTTGTAAATCGAGGTCCCCATTAAAGAATAAAAAAGAAAAAAATCGTTTTATTACCGCAATATAGCACATATGTATGGAAAATAGTAAAAACTAATAAAAAAAAAATTCTATTATCAGTTTAGTACATTTTGTCGTGACCGATAACTTGTGATAACGTAAAATAGCAACAACAAAATTTAAAATGTTTGCAAATTGAAAATATTGAATTAGAGCTTTGACGGCTTGAGTTTTCAGATTAACATTACTTTTTAAAACAGTACATTGTCATTTATTGATTCATCTTACACCGAGTGTAGTTTTTTATATCACGTTTTGGATCTCTGCGACTTCTTTGTGTAGCTTTTCAACTAGAATAACATTCAGCTAATGTGTGTGTGAATTACATTTTTTTGAATTATAGGCTATCCGCTATTGGAAAATGTCAAAAAGACAATCTTCAGAGTTTGACGATTCTTCTAAAGGTATTTTTTTAAAAATAGTTTTCGTTTATTTTTCTTATATATTAATATTAATATTTTTATTAGATAGCAATGACACAGACAAGCCACAACAAGACAAAAAACAAAAATTGGCTTTTGGCATGAAAAAAACGCCACTTGTTAAACCTGGTATTAAAATTAAGCTGAACACTCCATCAACAGTAATTGATTTTCTTTCGGATTTATTCTTAGTTGTTCGTAGGAAAATATAATTTTGATATTGTACGTATAGGTTTTTTTTTTAGAAAGAACCTCCAAAATTGCCTAAACCAGCATCAAAGTCCGTGGCGGCTGTATTTGGAGACTTAAGCGATGACGAACCTGAAGAAATGCCTAAAGAGGCAAGAATGCGTATGAGGAATATTGGCAGAGATACACCTACGTCGGCCGGACCCAATTCGTTTGGCAAAACCAAACATGGTTTCTGTAATACGGGTAAACTTATGGAAAAATCGCTCAAAGAGGCTACTAAAGCGTTGGTGGATGAAAAAAAATAATTTGTAGGTTATTTGTAATTAAATATAATTTAATAATATAAAAAAAAAATGTTCACAACAATATATGATGTGTATATTGCATTTTCTTCACACAATTTAATTTTAAAATTCAACATAAATCTATGACCATGACTATGTATTTTTAAATTAATAAACTCTATTTATTAATATACCAAAATCTGTTAAGTTTTTATTTGACCTAATAGCCTTACTACTATACTCTTAATGTGGCACTTGTAAGGTACTAATTAAAAAGAATTTTAATTATATTATAAGCTTATCTAGATTTTTTCAAATTGTTTACGGTTTATATTGTTTTATTAATTTAACTTTTCAATTATGTTTTTTCTTTAAACCCTAATAGCAAACTAATTTAAATATGTTATGTTTTGGCGTAGAATATAAAAATAACGAAAATATGTTCAATATTTTGTAAACATTTAACTTTTTGCCAAAATATAACATTTAAATATTTTTGCTGTGTATGAAGTTTTGTAAAAATAATTGCTCAAGTGTGCATTTGGAGACAGTAAAATATGCAGTATTAAAAACTAATAGAACCCACTCCAGACTCGTACTAGTAAATTAATATGTGGTTTGCAATGTCAATTACGAGAAATATTTTATGAATTATTTAAAACTTTTGTCTTATATTCTATTCAGTCCAAGATTTTATCACTCAGTTGACGAAAACTCGTCACCACTGCGCAACCCTCCACCTAGGCCTAGGTAGATTATTAATGACCAATCACAGAACGTATAGTAACCGCTGAAGAGGCCAACAGTGTTCAGCAGTTCAGTCTACATGCGCGAATCGGTTTAATCTTTAACTTAATAGACTATAGATGATCAAATTATGAGATTTGAAGTAAGGTTATAATGTATCATGTTAATAGAGTACAATAGCATACATTTTTCAATAAATCATTGTTCTGTAAATATATTTTATCCTTTAAATATTGAACTCAAATTCCAGTAATTGAAATTGACTATTTAGGCCAGCAATTATATATTAATGAATTGGTTTATTGCAGCTAACCCATTATTAGATTTTTATTAAATGCTTAAGTGAAAAATCAAGGATAAGGATTAATAGAACAATACACAATTTTTGTCAGAATTCATATATATTCTTAAATCTTATATAAAAGAAGCATTATATAATATTGTATTCCTTGTTGAAACACGGGAATCATGGTTTCCTTTGTGGTTGACCTCCTTGGCGATTGTTATCCTGAAATATAAAAACAATAGTATACAATTTTAAATAATCATAAGTTCATCAAGAATGCTAGTCTGTAGCAATTTCTGAGGAGTAACCAATTTATTACGGGATAAATTGGAGGTTATAATAATGCATAATCAGAAAACAATGATTATAGGTAGAAAAAAATTGAAATTGTATTGTTATTTTGTACAAACTCAAGTTTTATAAAATGTATTTTATCCAAATAAAAACTGAATATTTGGCTATGTTAAAACATAAACAATAATTTATATATTATTTTAACGTAAGATTTTTTTCTACTTACACCACGGGGGAAATTGCGACTTGGTGGCGTCCGGATACGGCGATCAGCCTTGGACCTGTTCCTCACTACTTTAGAATGGATAGCGCAAGAAACGCAGTAGTGCAGTTTAGCATACAATTTTGGCAATTGGTAAGCTGTAATGATATGAAAATTAATAAATGTCTCATTTAGATCATTATAATTAAATAAACACTTACATGTATATACACTAGCATCAGTTATATCACGAACGGCGGCAGCCTCGACAATGTTACGAATGACAAATTTCTTAATAGCCTTATCTTTGGGTACACAACGGGCGCAGTTTGTACAACGCACCGGTTTTACGTGGCCACGTCCGTGCTTCGATCTTCCTCCATTACGGCGTTTACGAGTCTAATAAAAATGAAAATGAATAAATTAGGAGTAGTTACTTATTCCCCTAGTGCTAAGTAGGTATTCCAAAATCCACGAGACATCTGCACATTTATCCAAACACATGGACAAAACATTTTTTTTTTCAGAAAAAAATAGTGCATTTATAATTAGTCAAAACTAAAAACTTAATAATCGCTACTCGCTATTAACACACAATAAACAATATCAATAAATGTTCTTACCATGTTGATTCCGAATGCTTGCAAGACACGAAAATCGTCTAAGAAATAAGAATACAAACGTAACTCGTCAACAAAATAACTTCAAAGTGAACCAGAAATGTACTACATAAGACATAACCTCACAATCTGTGGAGCAATTTTACAAAATGTGTGTATTTCATGGAAAAGAAAATATAGACAAGTTTGATTCGACTACGGAGGCAAATATACTTTGAAAACCACAAAACCTTTTTAACCTTATTCTGTTTAACTGTTTTATTCTATAAGAAGAAATTAAAAAACCACTTCAGTGTTAAAAAATAAAATATTATATACATTCAAAAATTCCATTATAAAATTTTAAGTTTTATTTAGTAACATTAATATTTTATGATAATAGAAAAGACATGGTCAATAAATATTACGAGTTTACGTATGGTTCATTAAAACTCATATCGTAGAGGTTTAATATATATTACTAAAAGTATAATTTTCACCAAAATTCTATTTTTTTTAGTAATGGACATGATCGACAGATAGAGTATTTTTTATTTGGAAATATTGAGTGATTAAATGTAACGCCTTGTTTGATGTTCATAAAAATGACATAGAACTTGGGAGGTGGGATACAGGAGTTATAGGTTATGTAGGTCTTAACGCATTTTTCAATATCATGTATTACATATTATATATATATACATAAATATTTGGTAAAACTGTTAGGATTGATTACAATAAGAAAAAAAAACAATGCAGTAATCAGTGCCCAGTGGTCAATTATAGTCACTGTAAGTGTAGTCAGTAGATAACCGAATTATAAAAATTAACACAATATTCAAATACCGGTTAATATTTTAATTTCGAGCGACGTACAATGGACTCTGTAGAAAATTCCATACCTCACTTGATCAGAGATATTGAACAGTTAGAGGAAGTGAAAGCGCAAAAAGAATTGGAACGTTCGACTTTAGAGACGCAAAATAAAAAACTTCAATACAGACTGAAGTTCCTAAAAGAAGTTAGTAATAGTTACTTACGTAAATAATATTTTTTATGTGTATAGATTGTTTATACTTGTTTGTTCAAAAATTCATTATATTATATCAACAATTTATTTACAAATAATAATGTGCCGTCATTGTTTGCAGGCTGTAGCGGAAGAGTCTAAAAAGGTATCCATCAGTACTGAAAACGATTCGTTAACAAATTTACACTCTATACTAGTCAATTTGTTCATTAAAGCTATTCAAAAGGCATATCCTTCCCTAGATTCGGTACAGCCAGCGATATCGGCAGGTAGCAAATTCGCTGATTACCAATGCAATGCTTCTATGCAAATTTGTAAGCTATTAAAAACTAAAGGTAACATGACAATCTATGTAAATTTTATTGTTTTTCTGTATTTTTTATTATTTTAATAAGTTAAAAATTATATAAACCTAACAGGTTTAGCGCCAGCAGACACAAAAGTCCGTTTTAGTGTAATCTAAACGTGTCCACTGTGGCGCTGTACCTGTTAAATTACCTACTCTATAAAAACAATGGGTTCATTAAAACACAATGTGTATATTTTTTAATTTAGGAGAAAACGCATCACCTAATGCAGTGGCTAAAAAAATAGTTGACTGCTTAGAACCATGTGACGTTATTGATAAAGTCGATGTTTCCGGACCAGGATTTATAAATATATGGTTGAGTCGTGATAAATTACGAAACGTATTACAATATGTTCAGGTCAATGGATTGAAGCCTAAAAAACCTGCCATACGACAAAGAATTGTAGTTGACTTTTCATCTCCCAATGTCGCCAAAGAAATGCATGTTGGCCATTTAAGGTCTGTATTGCGATTATTATCTACTGTCTAAATCTATACACAATTTTAATATAGTTGTATTGGCTTAGGTCAACAATTATCGGCGATGGAATATGTCGCTTGTTTGAATTTATCGGTCATGATGTTCTGCGATTAAATCATATTGGTGATTGGGGTACGCAATTCGGTATGTTGATAACACACCTCCAAGATAAGTTTCCCAATTATTTAACTGTGTCGCCTCCTATCAATGACTTGCAACAGTTTTACAAAGAATCTAAGGTATTATTTGACAATGACCCGGAGTTCAAAAAGCGTGCTTACGAGTGTGTAGTTAAACTGCAAAGCATGTCTCCAGATCACATCAAAGCATGGAAATTGATTTGTGATGTATCGCGAACTGGTTTGTACTTATTTGTGTATAATTTAGTCTCCACAATAATAATAGTATTCAATTAAATATGTTTAGAGTTTAAGAAAATCTATGATCGGCTAAACATATCTCTAATTGAAAGAGGAGAGTCGTTTTACCAAACACGCATGGAAAGTCTAGTCAAAGAACTTACAAATAAAGGTAACATATTATTATTATGAACTTCTATTTTAAAAATTGTTTTACAGTTATTTAATTTATGTTTGTTGTCTAGGATTGCTCGAGGAAGACGAAGGGCGTAAGATCATGTGGGGACCAGGATCTTCTATACCATTAACCGTAGTGAAATCTGACGGTGGATTTACTTATGATACGTCAGATTTTGCTGCTCTTAAACAAAGAATAGAAGAAGAAAAAGCTGACCGTGTGGTTTACGTAACTGACTCCGGTCAAGTAAGAGCCTATTAGTTCTATAAATAAATTATGTTTTAAATATATATTAATATTGAATTTTAATGTCAGAGCACTCATTTTGAAAGTTTAAAGAACTGCGCGATACGGGCAGGTGTTCTTGATCCAACTAGAGTTCGTATGGACTTTGTTGGATTCGGTGTTGTACTAGGTGAAGATAAAAAAAAATTTAAAACTCGATCTGGAGACACTGTACGCTTAGTCGGACTTTTAGACGAAGGTAATTTAAAAGACTGTTTAAATTGAACATATTTTATTAAATTATATTTATTACTTGTAAATAGGTATTAAACGAGCTCGAGATAAATTAATTGAAAAAGAAAGGGATAAAGTATTGACCGCTGAAGAAATGCAACTAGCCGAGACGTCAGTTGCATATGGCTGTATAAAATATGCCGATTTATGTCACAATAGAAATCATGAATACGTATTTTCATTTGATAAAATGCTTGAAGATAAAGGAAACACAGCTGTTTATTTGTTGTATGCTCTTACGAGGATACGGTCAATTATTAATAATTTGGGTGATAATTGTAAAAGCGAGAATGATCCTATTTCGCTTGATCACGAAAAAGAATGGAAATTAGCTAAGGTAATTAAATTTGTTCTTAAGAGATGTTTGTTTTTAATGTATTTTTATGTAAATTTTATTTAATATTTTTAGACACTCTTACGATTCCCAGAAGTGTTGGACAAAATATCAGAGGACCTTTGTTTACATCACTTGTGTGAATATCTTTATGAGGTTGCCACTACTTTCAACGAGTTCTATGATAACTGTTATTGTATTGAAAAAGATGGAAAAACTGGTATGAAATTCAAGTTACTTACAATTATATAGAACGTTATGGTATGGTAGGGAAAACAAATTATAGTTACTAAAAATCTTTCAAAATTTAGGTTAAAAAAAGGTTTAACACATTAATACAGTTTGGCGATATCGGCAATTAAATATATTTTTTTTTTGCAATTATTAATTTTAAAGAAGAACTGCTATTTTGTTTAGCGTTGTATTTAGATATGGGGTCTGAAAATTGACTTGTTAAAATTATTATAGATTTAGTGTTAATCTTTAAAATATATTTGGGACATTAAAAAAACTTTAGTTTGACTTTATTTTTATTGGAGGGGGGACCAATTACATTTGTATACACATTTTTTACCTATTTAGTGATTTATATAAATTATATGGATATTTTTTACCATCAACAATCACAATAAAGTAATGTATTTGTATTAAGTTTTAGCACTTATAGTTATAAGTTATAACAATATCTGTATTCTATTAGACTAACTTTTCATCTTCCCACTACATAGACTAAACTGTTCACATTTTAATTTTATTGATGATTTTTCTCCTTAATTATAAATAAAAATAACAAAATCTATGAAAACATTTAATTATTAATACAAAACAAATTTATTAATTTTTTACTGATTTTTTTTTAATTAAATTGATTTTTATATACTTATTTTTGAATAATTGTAACATAAAAATTAATTATTACAATTATTATTTATGAACCATAATAATTTTAGAATTTTTTTTCAGGAGAAATTATCAAAGTATATACTGGAAGAATATTATTGTGTAAAATTACTGCGGATTACATGGACACAGGTCTAAATATTTTAGGTATCACTACAGTGTCTCGTATGTAAAATATTTATTAACGACAAAAAATTAATTATGTTTTAAACTATGTTTTGTTTTTTTTTTTTTAATTTACAACATTTTTATGATACCGTTTGAATATGTGTTCAACATAACAATAGTGACCTTTTTTTGTAAAGAAAATTGATGCTTTTAATTTTTTCCTACTATGGAAAAATATAATTTTCCAGTGAATGCCCAGCTTTTATGGTAGACTTGGTATTTAAGGACCACATACTCAGCATAATATATTACAATTTTTAGAGTACTAATTTCACCTTGTACAGTTTCACCAAATCTAAATTATTAATTTAGTTTTACAATATTGTGTTAGTTTGTTGTAACACTGTTGACAAAACCTATCTGTAAAATTGTTGTGCGACACAATACATTTTCTTAAATAGGTTTTTCTTTTTAAAGCAAATTTGTTAGAAAGGTTACTTTCAAGATGAAAAAACAATATCATGTTGTATGTTAAGGTGTAAAATAATTATTTTTCTATATAATTACGATGCGTCTTAAATCAAAGTTCCTTCTCTCGTAATACTTTTTTGGAAGTAGTTTTGGGACCTCTAAACAGTAAAAATAATTAAACATAAATGATACAAAAACTTACATGGTTCATAAAACTGAACCATGTTAGTACTCCATGTTTTAAATATATTTATAAAACTTACCTAAATGTATGCTTTGTAAATTTGTTTTATTTAAAATGTTTTAGTACCCATTTTATACTCCTCTCGACCTTCCTGTTTCACAAGTATTTATTTATTTGTACGTTTTATAAAAATAGTTCATAAATAAATGTTTTTAAAAGGAACATTTACTGATAGCGGAAGGGAGAATCAGCTGGTTATTCTTTTTGGTTCTTAAAGGTGGGTTGAAAGCGGTTCAAACTTTAAAAATATTAATAATTTATTTGTGGAATTAAAAATTGGCATGAATTAACTTAGAAATGTTCAATAATTGATAAGACCCTTAAAAGTGTAAGTTCCTAATTTTTATTTCTCCGAGATAAATATTTCTCTTATAATTATTTTATGTGCAACGTATACATTTTCTCAAAATGGTTTTTGATAAGTTTATTACACATAAAAATTTAACTTGAAACTAAACGTTTAAAAATACTTTTTATAATATCCAACTGCAGGACAATATTTAAACATATTTTTTATAAATTGTAAATATGTTGTTTTTTAATGAAAGAAACGTTTATGACTCAAAAATGTCTTATTCATTCTAAAGAATTAACACAAATATGTTTTTTTCCAATTAACACTTGTGATTAGTGAATAGTCGGTAAAATCTATATATATATATGTATAATCGAGGTAGATTAAGTTAAGGCTGATGAATTAACTTGTCTTCTTGTACTCGGCAAAACCGGTATTACACAATATGTATTTGATATTTAGAGTAAACAACCTTTTTATATGTAAATGACACAACATAATATATTTATACGATCTATAAGATATTGTAATTTCTTCACACTTTAGTCGGTATAACCGTGCTTGTTTATCTAAGATTTCATCAGATTACATCTCGTAAGCTATTTTATTGACAATAAAATGTAGATGTATTTCTTTTTTATTGATCATGAATAATTTATTAAAAAGTTATTTCTACCTAAAAGCCAATACGTAGGTTCACTACGGGATATTGGTTTTACATTTAGTTTGAACAGAAATTTAAAAGTAGCTATACAGACGTTTGAGAAAAAAATAATTTTGTTTTGAAAGGTATCCGTTTTTGTCAAAAATTGTAATTATAGTTTATTACATTGTCTATAGTAATGTTTTTAAATATTTTACTAACTTAAAAATAGCTACACAGAACACGTTTTGTTTGGTTCATTATGGTTTTAACGAAAGAAAAAAACAACATAAAATATAATATTTTAAGAGCTGTACGTTGGTGATTTTTGAACAATTAAAAGGTTTTTGTAATATTTGATGAATAAAAAGGCAAAACCTACTGTACATATTTTTTTATAGTTCCACCTTTGTTACTAAACAAATATTGCCCGCCAAACGTCAATCGATTGGTCGATCTACCTACACTTTGAGCACGAAAAAAAGGTCATTACGACCTTCAGAAACAGACGAGTTTGCTTATAGGGTTGGACAGGTGACACGATTATAATAGTTAACAGACAATTATATATAACTATATTACTATCAAAGGCAATAAATATTTTATTAACGGAAACAAAATTAATAATTAACAACGTTTTTTAAATCTATATTGCACAAAAATATATATATATATAATACAAAAATAATTGGAAAATAATATAAAAATTAATTTTGTACGTTTTGTTTTTTATATTATACACATAATGACTGAGGGCGCACTGATCATACAATGCTTTCCATGTTATTGCTGTCCGATGGCAGTACGCTTAACGATTTAGGCATTTTGGAACTTTCAACGATCGACACTGCGCCGTTTTCCATTAAATCTGCAACGGTTATTGCAACATTATTGTATTATAATAAACAAATATAATGTAAATTATAATAAATGTAATGCAGTTACAAATAAATATAAGCGTCATTTAAATTATAATAAATTGTTATAAGGGATATAAGGCGGGAGAATAGGTAGGCAGGAAATAAACTTATGTAAATGGTAAGCCAGAAAAGGAGTGAATGACGACTTAGCAATAAACGGAGAAAATAAAGTCATGTTATGCACTCACGGGACAGTGACGGTGACGGGCCCTGCGAGTTGCTGAACATTTTCGTGCTGTACCCGGAATCGTTGCACGGTATATCGTCGAGCCGGCGGGCCGTCAGGTAGTCGAGCCGCCACCGCAAGTTTGGGTCCATGACTGTAGTGTCGATGGTACACTGGGCCCGGAACCGGTCTTCCAACACGCTGTCGTTATCGCTGTCAACTTCTTCGGTTACCTGTGCGGCAATAAATGTCATTACGCTAAGTGTGACAAACGAATATAATATATGGTAATATTGCTACCCTTTTGCCACTTGGCGGCCACACTATAAGACACGATTTAAAGTGATTTATATTGCCTCGCAGACGCAGTGTTGTAAAAAAGATTTTTTAAATATAATTGAACACTGTACTGAGTACTCAAAATATTCCACGCTAAGTCTATATTTTAAAATACATTTCATCGTGTTGTTGTTGTCGTTTTAAGTTGTAGATATTAGCATTATAATTACACGTTACTGAACGGCGGACATCGTGTAACGTTCAAGTTTTTATTCGAAGAATACCTAGGCCTTTTTTTTGTTCTTTAGCGTATAAAAATTGTATCATTATTTTATACTCAACCTTTTAGGTCAACATGTTGACAAACAACATTTCTTAGTAAAAATTGTAACTTGATTTTGAATAATTAAAAGATAAATTATAAATATGATTTTTGTTCTTCGAATAAGATATTTTATTTTATGTGCAAGTATTTTAATTGATTACCAAATACCAAAAATAGTATTTCAAATAATATTTTAATACTTCTTTCTAATTGTACTTAAATAATTTGCAAAGCACTGTAATGGCCCAGATTTAAAGGAGGGTGGGTCCTTGGGGTCCACTCTTGATCAATTTCTCCGGTGACCAAGACATTTTAAATCCGGGCTTAGTATTGTTGCTTTGTTACATTTGAAAAATATTTGTTGCAACATATCAAAATTGACATTGTAATAATACAGACCTAAATCGAGTTATCGCTGTCACCAACGTACTCAACAATCAGTTTCGCCACACTGCATATTATGCCTCGCATACGTGACGCTTATAAGAATCCGAACAATTACTTAAGTCTAGGTGCTATTTAAATCCTTCGCGCCGTACCTTATCGAAGCAGTGACCACGTAATTGCTGTTGGCTATTATTACGGATGACTTTCACACCCGATATTTTATCATAAGAAATTAATTAGTAAAAAGGCCGACGAGTAGAGATATTATACCTACGTGGTTTTGACAAACTGATTTAAGCGCGTATTTCCTAATTCACCGGATCTCCCATTACCACCGAATTTGTCGATTATTTTATGCCCGATACTATTATTATTTAAATGCCTATTTAGTATATTTAATCGCTATTCAGGTCGTGAGCTGGCGCTCGGCAAAAACGATAAACTCATCACGTGCGCGCGTTAAAACCGTTTCTGATATTATTACTTTGTTTTAAAAACGATCGCGACACAATGAGTTTTTTTTTACCCAAGTGCACGCGCTTAGACTCCGTCGCCCACCAGTTTCTCACAATGAAAAGATGGGGGGGGGGAGAAGGGCACGCTCGAACCGCATAATATCACTGTTATTGTACGGAATATCATAGTTACACGTCATGACAGATTTAATATTTTAATTTATACGTGTACGTATAATAATACTATTTAACAAAAACAATAATGACAACGATGTTTACCCGTTGTAGTTTTTCTTTGGACAACTTGAGCTGTTTCTCGACGCAGCACAGCCGCCTGCTGAGATTGTCCTCGGTCCGGCATATCTGCCGCTTAAGCTTTTTCGTGTTGTGGTCCAGCCGAGCTTCGAGCTCTTTGAAGAACGGCGCGCAGTAGCACGTGTAACCCACGCCCACAGGCCCCTTCCTGATGTTGCCCGCTAGGTCCAGGTAGTACTGTTCGCCCGCGTGCAACGGTTCGTCCGGCAGAGAGTTCAGTTTGGGCTTGGGGAATTCCTTGGTATCCGGGAAGTAATGGCAACCGTAGGGCGACCACTGTTTTTTAACGCTGCCGTCCGGTCGTTTTTTACCCTGGGCAAAAAAATACACTGTCTGTACCAGGGAGTCCGAATCGAATAGGAAAAACGTTAAAAACGGGTTTCAGCCCCCAAATCGCAACTAGAAAATCACCGAAGACGGTTAGGTAAATCATAAAACCAAAACTTACAATAAAACCGTTTATTAAAAATCGAGCTCCGATTAAAAAAATAACATTCTATGTTATGTATATTCTAGTAAAATAGCTATATTCATTATATAGTTTTGGGGACCGTTAAGCTGAAGAAGATAGTTTTGCGGATATTACCTCCACATAAAATTGCTCAATGAGATTATGTAAATGTTTGTGAATTGCGAAAACGTTTTATATATTTAACGATTAAACTAAATAAATGTTGACTTCTATCTTCCTTTCAAATTTTCCTAGAGCTCGATGGGTGACATTGCGTTTAAGTTGTGGAAAACCATAAATCAGTAATGTTTCCATTTCTAACTTCCCTTCGTTTGACCCCACTAGCTTATGTAAATTGAAAACTCTTACTTCTTTATGGTCTTTAATGGTGGATTTTTTGCCGCTGCTGCTGCTCTTTTTCTTCACATAACTGGGATCGTTCAAAATTTCCAGAATTTCAGTCAAATTCTTGCGCTCCGCTATGTCTTTGGCAGTTTCGTTTTGCTGAAAACGCAGAATTCAAAACAATTGAAATAAATGTATAGTAATTATAGCTTCACTTGTAACGGTTAGGTGACAATAATGAAGATAATAATTGGATAATAGAGATAGTACTATTTGAAGTATTTTTAAACATTTATTATTTTTTCTCTATACCGGCTACGCGTATTTAAATTTACTGTACACTATACAGTTTGAAATAGCCAATAACTACTCATATTATAACGGCACGATAACAAAATACAAGGCCATAAATATAGGAACAAGGTAAAAAATAACTATTAACCTATAATAACAATAAATGTATATAATCACCTTGTTTCTCAACATGGTATTACACTTGGCCTGTAATATGATTCTGGTCAATTTCTTCCTGGCCATAGCCGCAGCAATGTGCAGCACCGTATCACCGTTCTATTAAAAAAAAATTCACGTTAATATATTGTGTTTAGACACCCGTATAAGAGAAAGCTTCTGTGCAGTATACAATGTGCGTTATGTTGATTTTTTTTTTTGGCGTGTCCAATTTTTGTCAATGGGACCTATTCATACTAACAATTCAAAGCCCAAGGGCGCTTATAACGCAAAAATGATAATGCTGGAAGAAGTAAACAATACCTTATAGTATAATAATAATGTCTTTGAAAAAAATTATGAAATATCTTGATTCTAGACCCGTTGTTATCATTTTTTAAAAATCCTTCAACTTTAGAAGCGTCGGTGGGCCAGCAATTTTTGAACGATAGAATAAATATTTAAATGGAGTTTGAAAAATAGTTTTACATTTTAATTCCCTCAGTTGCTACAAATTAAATTTTCATTTCATATAAATTACATGTGAGACAAAGCCACTCTTCATCTAAGCCAGCCATTTATCCGCCACCATCCATTTATTCACTCTACACATCCTCATGTCTTCATGTATAACATCTCTTGCCCGTTTTACAAATTATTCATTTTCGTCCGTTATTTTAACAACATCCAAATTTATTCACTCTAATTTTACCTGCTATTTGCGCAACTCCCCGATCAGCTCTTATTTACTAACCCCTAATTCTATATAACTCATATAGTCGTCACTTTGTTTTTCATACCCCTCAATAAGACTTTTTTTATAAAAATTTGAATTGCATTCGAAGACCTTAGAAGCCACGGGTCCTAGTATATTTACCTTTCCCTATTTGTGCTACTCATAATTTCGAAGAAACCGGTAAATTATGAAATTAAAAGAGTTAAACATTCAATAATTTAGCTTTAAAAACATGCAGACCGTAGCCGGTAGCAATGTAGTATAATAGCTTATTTATTTAAAAACAAATTAATTATTTGTTTAATGGAAGTTCAGTGACACAATCGAAGTTTTAACAGATATGTTTCCTTGTTTTACACTGTGTTATTAACCATTTGTTTTTGCATACCCATTGAATATTTTTTGTAATGTAAAAAATATTAATATTATGGTCATAAAGTTTATTTTTTTACCTTGTTTTGCTCAGACACTTTGCATTGAGCGCTCAGGAGAATCCTAAACACTCCGGCGTGCCCGTACCTGGCACTCGTGTGAAGTGGCGTGTCACCGTACTGGAACATAATATAAATAATAATTATTATTTTTATATTTTTATACATCTTTTGACGTAAAAATGTTTTTATTACATTCGTATCGATAGACAAACGTATGGTAATGACTTCGATAAATTTGAATTTCAAAATTCTCGGGCCATTATAATAGTAATAATATATTATACTACTGCAAGTCTTTATACCGAATTTTTCAAAACGGGTTTAGAATAGTGGAATGTCTCGGAACGCGGCTGGTTTAGGAATATACTAATACATTATACTGTAATATGTGTAATAATGATTCAAAACAAACACGGTTTTGTGAAAAACTGGAGAAAGAACGCATAACAAACAAACGTGTCTGTTCGATGAGCTGAGAGAGTACATGCCGCGGCGCGTGACTAAATTCGTCGGTGGGTTTTCGTTGTTGGTTTTTTTTATTGTTTTTTTAACTGCGAAACGATCAAATTTCATTAGTCGGTGTCTATATCACGATCGTTGCACGACTTGTGCCGCCGGACAGTAAAATGAACAACACCAAAACGCGTAAACGGAATACCTAATTAAGTTCTCTGTTTTTGTGTTGGTAATTTGTTCCACGAATTTCCACGTCTGTACAGTTTTGTGCTAACGCACTAATTGAATCTTTACTATACAAGTGCGAATCGATTCACAGTTGTGAGAAGGTGGCATTTATTTTCACACGCCAGAGAACCCTCCCCCGCCCCCTCACCCCTGAATAAAATAAAATAAGTAAACCGACTTATTCGTGCATACCCTGTATTGTTTGCCTATATCACAATAATGATCATCAAATTATCTCAATCGAGCTGAGTGTGTAATATTTTATGTACAGTAACAGCTTCAATGCATATACATTTATGCGATGGGACCATTAATGGCGCACGGTAATGAGTGTTAAGCACCGAACAAGAGAGGCCAGGTAGAAAAACGTAGATGGCTAAAACGAGAATACTGAGATGGATATGTGGAGTAATTAGAGCATAAATAGGTAGTTAGATAATAGATCTAGCAGTTGTAGTTGCGTCATTAGCATGTAAGGGGGAAGACAAATTTAAGGATATAGATTAAGATAGTTTGATACTTTATTCCCGTAGAAATAATATGGAGATAAATCGAATAGCAAAACGAGTATGACAGATTAAATGACACGTAGACGCAGAGGTAGAACAAAGAAAAAATAAGTTGCTGGTAAAGCGCTCGATGTGCGTGGAATAAATATTGAAGACAAATAGATAAGTGTAGAGAAAATAGAGTAGGTTGAGTGACTCCACTTATAGAGATAATGTGAATAAGACGATTTGTATTATATTATTATATAATATTGTACATTACAATATTGTATAATTTAAAAACATGTTTGGCGCTTTCCTTGTTCGTAAATTGAATTTTCTATATAGTTTCTTTCAATATTGGTCCGTTTGAATTGAACCAAATAGACATTTGAATAACCATTCAAATGTCTACATTGCAAAAATAATTTGAGTAGATTTACCTCAACGCCGGAGTATATAAGGCTTTATTCTTGTTTTTTTTGTTGTTAATGAACATTAATATAGTGTCTATAGGTACACTTATTACTTATGTTAGGTGCGTTTGTGTAAAAACCGGTCCTAATGGTAATATAAGTGCTGTGGTTTTGCCGTTTTCGAGTTTGAAAATATATCCATACTATATATTATATGGACTTTAGAGCTATAATATTATATATTCACCTAATACTGTTGATATGTCTATACATGACACATTTTTTTCACATTAATAATTACAATAACTATACATGTATTATATAATTTGACGTTTATGTTTTTTACAATCATCTCTACAAAAAAAAAATACATATCTTGAAATACATTTCAGTCGGTAAGTTGTTGATAGAATTCACCACAATATATCACAGAAAAAGAACAATGTACACAAAACTGTTGAAAAAAATATACCGCAAATACTGTTAATTTGTCATACATCACACAATTCACAAGTGTAACCGTAACAGATTGAATTTCCAAGAATGTCACGGATACGTGTAAAAACAACAAGCGATGATATGACCTGACCTGACTGCTTGTTTGATCTCTCAGTTGGAAATGGAAGTACTCGCTGTTCAGAAAAACTAAAGTATGTTTTTAACTTTTTAAATAATAAAACTTGATTAATCGGGCAAACATACGATGATAAAAGATAATGTACATTTAAACGCCAGATGAGTGTTATTTATCGTTATGGTGTTGAAATTTAGACTAAAAATATATTTTTGTGGATACTGGTCAAATGACGATACTCAATAAATTAAGTTATTTTTTTACCAAGCCTATCCTTGTAACAAAAAATTCCTACTTTTGTAGTACAACGCTATTCGACCAATGGCCAAAGAAATATATTAAATCTATTTTCAGTTCTAAAGTTCTAATATGTGTTCAAAAATGATTTTTAAAACATGTTATTTTTAAGTTTAGTAAGAAATTGTGTTCTAACCTCTAACTAGGGGTTTTCTAGTGTGTTGCATGATAAATGTGTTCGTGGTTATACATATAATCATGCAAAAACGCGGGTAGGTTTTGTATGTAAGCAGTTATTATTATTAAAACGTAACTTTGGTACCCGAAAAAATAGCACAAATTTTACAATGTCTCTCTTAGGAAAAGAAGAGTAAAGTTTTAATTTTTTAATTTAAATTCTGTAATAGTATACTGGATTATGTAAAAAATCTCTATTAGAACGTACCTATACCTTTAAGTACTGGATATTACATTGCGTCGTGTATTCCAATGCAATATGTTCTGATGCTTTGCATCAATGAGATTCGTTTATTCTACGATACTAGGAAACGGTTAAATGGTATTAACTCACGTTATTCTGGACGTCTGGATCACAGCCGGCAAGTAATAGCTCACGACAGCTTTGGTTGTGCCCATTTTGGCAGCACAGGTGCAGAGCTGTTGAGCCTCCGTAGTTCTTGTGGTCCAGCTGGCTGCCAGAGGACACAAGCAAGGCGACCGTCTTGCTGTAACCCTTCCAGCTGGCCTCGTGCAGAGCCGTGTTCCCGTGCTGTACAAACAGATAAGAAAACGATGAAAAATTATTAGGCATTAACCATAAAAATCCAAATAGTCTTAACGATCTGGAGTTTTTATCCCCGTTCATTTAATACAAATTAACGAAAAAAATCGCATGCTATAGTTGCTTATTTGATTATAGCCTAAGTCTTTAATACTACAGTCAGACAACTGCATTAATTTTATCAGATACCTACAACTAGAAATAGGTAAATGATACTTAAAAGGATACTCCAGGAAATTTCTTTTAAGTAGAAGTCTGGTGTCAGAAAAACATTCAATTAGAATAAGTTGAGAAAAGAGGTTGTGTTCTTGTATTTTTGAGAGGAATAACAAATTGGTAGAATTTACACTCAATTTCGTCATTATGAAGTGTATGGCTTTGCTATTTTTGACCCTGATATGTTGTCCTTTATCATTTGTGTCGGGTATTTCCACTTTAAACCTTACTCTTTCAATGCCTTCTATATGACATTCAATTATTATTATGGTCATTGTTTTTTTTTTTTTTTAAATGGTTTTGCCACTTTGCCATTGTTGCCGATTTTACTTTTCCCACTTCAATACTTTTTCATTCAAGCCTTTGGGAATCTTGCCCAATAGAACGGGGGTATGTCGAATAAACTAGGTTTCAATGAACTGTGTAAGGACAACTATCTCATCCCTCATTCTGATTATCTACTTATTTATGGCACGCCCCTCCTCCTCCAATCTCGTTTGTGTCAACGGCTTGAAACAGGATTGTGTGCATTTAGAGTAAAAAAAACTTACCAAGCTATCGTGCAAGTTAACGTCGGCCTTGTGCCGCAAAAGCAACTTCAACACGTCCAGGTGTCCTTCGGCCGCGGCTATCTGCACGGCCGAATATCCGACAGCGTCTTGAGCGTTGGGGTCCACGGACTTCTTGGCCAAGAGCTCGGTGACGGCGGGACAATCACCTGTAGAAGCGGCATAGTGCAAGGCTGTCCGGCCGTCTTCTGGCATCGGCGGCTCCTCAACCGGGTTCAGATCCACCATCCCAAGTATTTGGCATTATCTGCGAGGACAACAACAATTATCAAATACTGTGAAAACAATACTCGAGTATACACATTTACTCCACAAGGAGTCAGCCATCGTTTGCCGGCAATGACTAAATAAGTTAAAGCCGGCGTAGAAACGAGGTGGTCTCTAAGGTCTCGAGCAACAGAAAATTGAACATGCCGCTATTAATATTTGTACACAATGTATAAAATACTATATTCAGATATACATTGCAATACACGAATAACACTTACGCACGATGCCATCGTTATTACAATTTTTAAGAAAACGTTTAAATTTGAATCTGTACAATATGTGTACACTATAGTCGAACAAAATTATGATTTCGAAATGTATTATTGAAAAACAAATCATTAGTGGCACCCCAATGTTAATTAATTAATTTTTGTTTGATTTATTACATTTAAACAGGCAACGTTTAATTAGTAATTATAATAGTACCACATGACGTGATAAATATACAGTGCGTGGAAAAAAGCTAAGGTTATATAATATTAGGCATAACAGATATAATACAGCGAACAAAAGTTCGCATAAAAAAGAAGACATTTCTCCAACTCAAGGAAGAAAATTGAATCATGAATTTTTTTTGAGCAGTGGGTCCACTGAGTCTAGTTTTCTTTGTATCCAGCCCAAAAACATATTCATGTTAAAATATAATTATAAAAAATATTCGAATAATTTTCACTTGAATAAAGTATTATCTAGATGATTATTTAGATAGCGTTTTATTCGAATAATGCACAACTCTGGTTATAATTAATACAACATAATGGTTTAATTATTTCAAAAAAGAATCTTGGTGTTATTGAACTCTGTTCAACGCCTCAATTAATTGTGAGTTATTTTACACCACAAAATACATAAATAATGTATGTATTTATTGCCGTGGCAAAAGTGATATAAATATAAATTTTAAAATAATTGATTGATCAATCAACATTAAAAAAATCCATGTATTTATTTGTACGTACATATGATTTACCTTGTGAGTAAGACATAAGTATTACCTATAATTTATATTATAGTACTTGCTCGGGTACTTCTGAATTTTGATTATATCTGTCTCCATGCCGTTGTGCAAGTGATTATAACCGTAATAATTTGTATAATTTTTAGATTAGCTACAACGATGGGTGCATACAAAAATTACTAGTTGCAAACATTCCTTTTTTTTTTTATTATTATTCCAACCTATAATTTTAGGTGCCCGATAATTGTAAAAGCGACGCAGTGTAATGCTCACGCATGTATAGATACGACTATTATATAAAATAGGTAACATTATATGTGTAAATGTATATAGTCAAATGGTCTATTTGCAATAGGTAATAAAATATAACGAATAGATAATTATTACTTCGCACACACAGCGCTATATAACTGAAAATTATACAGCTTTCGCTTCCTCAAAAAATGGGCGGCTCATTCGCCTTATTCTATCCGCAGGTTTATAAGCATTGATAAACAAGATATTTTTCACAAAGCGGTATAACTTATAAATAATAATTATGCGAACAAGCAATGATTAACCACCCTGTATTACCTAGTACTATATAGTACTCATGTGTACCTAGTGTAGTTAATTAATGGTACAAGTGTACTAAAACTTCAAAAGTGTATAATAATGATATTATTTTACCAATAATAGGCACACATTAATCGAAACCTTCAGCGAAACAAGTGGTATCTCATTTCCAATTTTTCAGGGTGAATAAAATAAACATTCAAATGTATATATTGTTTTTTTTTTTTTTTTTACATAAATCGGCACCTCCAACAAAACCTAGATTTGTCTAAATAGTTGAAATAAGTAAGATACTTTTTTCTGGGAATGGGGTAGGGGGATTTTGAAATATAAATAAGACGGAAGTCTAAAGGAGTTTTAAAAAAAAAATATTTTTTGTGGTTACTGCATGATTTTTTTTTTTATAATCTTTGTTGTTACTCACTCAGCAGACTACCGAATATTATATACCACTTTATGACTTGTTGTACTATTTATTTTATTATTATTAACGGTTGTCATAAAATTGATACTATTTACTATAGTATACTATAGTACTACAGTTATTATAGTGATATTTATTATACTGGATAATTTATAATAAGGTTGACCATTTTTTTTAAAACATTTTTTTATGGTCAAAATCACCATCTATAAAGGATGTCATTTAGACATAATAGTATCCGGTTAGTTAACTTTTTGTGACCGCACGATTACTTCTAATGACACTGAGGTGTAATTCTATAATATAATATAATAAAATGTATAAAGATGTTATACTAGTGAGTTGTGTACTAAATTGGTGTAATTCCATAATCGTAACGGGCGATTATGTTATTACTATTAAACGTTTTTAATACAAAAGAGCGTTTAAGAAACCTACTTTACCTACTATAAAATATACATTATACTATATGTATAGTATACAAGTAATAATGCACTTTTGATTTATACTAAAGATTAGCTGTAAAGCAACCAAATACATTGTAGGTATGATCCCGGATCCGTATGTAAATTGTAATATAATATTATGATCACAATCGTATATGGCGACGTGCCGGGGCGGTCGTTACCAAACGCTATTTTTATAATATTAAACAAATTACATTTTTTTTTTTTTTACTTGTTACGCGTAGGTACATTCCATTGCTGATATAATCTTATTAAAATTAAGCACGGCTGTAATAAAACCTAATGTGTTTTGTAAATCTGCTGATTGTGGATCGCGTTAACAGGTGTGAAGCAAAAAAAAAGGAGAATTTAAATACAAAATTTGTACACATAACTTTGCTTAAAATTTGCATTTCTAATCTATTGGTTTGATATGCGTGTAGAACGTGCCTACCTATTATTATGGCCATGTACTTGGATAGGCCGCTTAACGTGCAATAGACATATGAAGCGAAATTAAAGTGTATGTGAACTGCTGCAATTACTCAGGCAAACAGGTTAATTTCTTATATTAAACACATGCACTCGTGTTCTATTTTAACGTTTTCAGATAGTACGGAACACATAAGAGGAGTGGCTAGTTGGAAATCGTCAAAGAAGTCTGTAAGATTGGTTTTTTTGTTTCCTTTCTAATGTGTGTGTTGTGAACGCATTTCAGGATCCGTATTTATTTTAAACTTTAAAGTGGATCCAGATCTGATTTAAAAATATGAGAGCAGCTATAATAATGTGTACTTGGAACGATCACGGCAGAAAATTGACGAAAAAAAACAAACAAATTATACATGTCAGTGAAGAAGTAACTATTACATGTATATGTTATGTTGAACACACAATTTTTTAACTAGCACATCGCATGTCCAGCGTGAGATTAAAGTGGTGATAATGTATTTCTAAATACAACGATATAACAATATGTTCAAAGCGAAGCTGAAGAAGTACTGAATTTATTGTTCATTTTAACAGTCTTTTTTGGCGTATTAGACCAAGCGTTGAAAAAGTTAGTTCTTTTTAAGTTTTAACTTCCATTAAAAATTTGAGAAAACCTATCAAAAAAATTAAATGATATTACATGGTTCAAAATTATGACACGCTGTAATTTTCAATCTAGAAATTTCCATATCTTAGATTTTTATTGCAATTGTGATACAGTAAGGCAGGCGATGGACTGACCTAAACATAATCATCAACACTACTGCTCGTTTTTGCATACAATTTTAAACAAATTATAATAAAATTACAATTATTTTCAATCAAAGAAAGGCTACCATCCTATTATTAATCATGAAAAATCATAATTAAATAGCCAACTTAGTCTATTTGTCTTAAAAGAATATAATTTTACAATTTTTTTGTAGGTTTCAGTTAACGCGCGTGGAGACTTTAACGCCCCAAAGAGGTTTTCGAGAGCAGTGTTGACAATTAGAGATAACACTGTATACCAAAATAAATTAGTTAAACTAAAATAAATAAATTTATACATATTTTTAAAAAAGGACATCATTTAAACTAAGAAATATAGTATATTAAAATAATGCATTATTAATTTGTAAAAATTAACAAACGATTTTTTTTATAGAAGTAAAATGTTTTACATCAATTGATATTTTTAATAAATTTTTAGTGTAAAGAAAAACTGTTTGTTTTAAATATACATTACGTGAACTGCCCGATTAACTGTTTGTTTTGTGACACAGCATATTATTCAGTTCTTATGTATACATAATATAAGTAGTAATAATAACATTATAGTTTATAACTAAATTCATAATTGGTTTACGGGTAGAAAAATACACATACGCGCGATGTATGCAACTCTAAATGCGCCTATATTATTGTACATCTGCGCCTCTAATATATTATTGTAATTTAAAATTTGTACGGTACTTTAGTTTATAATCCGTTCAAATGAAATGTTTACCCACACAAAACGGTTACGCCTGCGTAAATAAAAATTACAAGTGTGTAAAAAAAAAAAAAACATCTGCATCTTCCAAATTTATAATAAATATATTACTATCTCATCATACGGCAACGGCCTTACACCATATATTATATTATATTGTAATGGTACTTACATTAACATGCTAGTGTGTACGGTACGTTTGTTTAATACCTAAATTATATACGTATACATGCATATTGTATTTGTTTGTTTATAACGGTCAGTCCAGCAAGTACTTCGCAGTCTTCAAGCTGTATGGGCGCGAATTACTGATGTGTGTTGTTATACATATATATATATATATGTATTTTAAGTACTCGAATGCGAACGCGAGACCGACGTGGCGTGTCAAATTTGGAATGGGAGCATAATGAATGTATAATATTATATAGATAACGAATAGAATCTATTAATAACCGGGCGAATTCGGCTCCAGATACACTGTAATGTGTATAACATGCAGATCCGATGATACATATTATAATTATATGTATATAAAATAACAAGTTTTTGTTTGTAGTGGATGATGCTATTATATTATATTATTATGTACACGTGTATTATTATAGACCTATAACGATAAAATACG